CTATAAAGTAAGTTGTTAACGGATACTACTTAGGTTGTTAATGCCCTCTCATCAGTTGTTAATAGTCGCTGTTGAGGTTGTAAATGGATCTTCACATTAAAATATTACTATAATCCTATTGGATCTAGTTAAAATTCTTAATAATATCAAAAAGCTTCCCATTTTAGTGTTAAAGTTGTTGTATTATACTATTTGATTATAATTTACTCTTATGTAGAGGTTATATGATTCTATAAAATAAGTTGTTAACGGATACTACTAGGGTTGTTAACGCCCTCTCATTGGGTTGTTAATAGTCGCTGCTGAGGTTGTAAATCGTAATGACAGAGCAAATGTGAGTCTGGAATATGAGGGGCAGTAATGTCATTTTACAAATCGAAAATATTACTCTGAGGTCCCTTAGGACCTGTCAGTGATTTTGACATTTCGTGGAACCTCAGAGTAATAAATTGCCTTCTGTGAGACCTGTACGTAATTTTCCCATAAAAATATCTGTGACTTTGATGGTTATTTCAAATCATAATGGCATTTCAGTTTGCGGTTTCTAGAACTATATGTTGCCGCGTAATCCTCGCATTAGAAAATCTATACTGCATAAGACACGGTTGCCTACATCTGACCCAAAAAAAATTAAGTAAATTACTAAATTACTTTAAAATAATTATATTTCTCATTTTTTTTCTTCAACTAATTTGCCTTGTTTATAAATTGATATATAAACTAATGATACACATAAATTTTTAGAAAGATCATGTACTGTATGTTATAATTAAATAATTTAATAACTTTCTTAATATGTTCAAATAAGTCAGTTGTGTCTTACTGGATGTAGTATTTTATTTAGGCCAAAGTCCAATATTTTGAATACTGGATGGTTATTTTAAAAAAAAACTGCGAATTTGCAAAGATTAGAAGCACACAATATATGAAAATCTGGGAATCTGATTGCAAGTGCAGGTGACAGGAGAATACTGATAGACAAAGAATTTAGTTGTTGAACTGTAGGGTTTTGAGTTTGAATTCGTATGAAAAGGGGAAAAAAAAAAAAGAAAGAAGAGAATTCACGCCTAAAAATATCAATAGTCCACTAAGAAAAAAATCATTAGTCATAAATATTATAATTAAAAATATGGAATGGCCCCGGAATGTCTCCTTCCCACATCACAGTGCAGTGAGTTTTATTTATTTTTTTTAAAGTGGAGGATGGGACCAAAATTAGTGAGGATAACATTGACTTTTTGCACGCTTATGCGTACAATAGGCTTTGAATTTGATGGTGCCGGGTGCCCCAACAAGAAAGAAAGAAAAAGGGAGAAAAATATCTCATTTCATATCTGAATTTCTGTTTCAATGCCCGTCCGTTTCTCCTTTTTATACATTTTGTCTTTTGCTTAATATGGCATTAGAAGTGTGCGTAATTGTGTTTAACTTATCATATTTGGTTGCTTTCCATATTAAAAAAATGTCACATAATCTGCATTACCCGCGCGTGACGGTAATTAATATTCACCCTCCCCTTTCATGACCTGGTTCCACGTGGCGAATACGATTGCTTCATTATTTTATAATTACTTCTCGTACAGTCCTTGTTTTGCACATTTGTGGTACAAAATCTAGTTTGATTTTATTTATCATATTCATTTATTTTACTCCCATATGAGTCATAGAATGATTGTTTATGTTAATGAGTTTTCATTAAATATAGTTAATGATTAATAAAGATATTTTGAAAAGGATAACACTCATTTACTATAAATAAATAATTTAAGTAATTTTTATTATTAAGAATTTATCATGAAATTTGTATTTGATTATTAATATTGGATTGAGTCATAGTATTTATAATTTATAATAGCTTGGGTATTTTCCTTCGTTAATCTAGCAAATAGCTATATATACGTGGACATGATTATGAGGACGTATCATTTGATAGGTTGGATTCGCATTTACTTTTAATACTCAAACATAAACTATTTGATCATTAAAGTATGCATTAAATAACATCAAAAATATTTTTTTTCCATATTGTTAGTAAAAATTTCTACGTCTAACTAATTTTCTATGCTCTATTTCTTTTATGATTGTTAAATTAATTATCATATTTCCTCTTAGTTGAAATCTTTGCATCTATTATACTACCTCCGGTCCTTAATATAAGATTCTGTTTAATTTTTTTTTAGTGTTAAATATAAGACTCAAATCCATTTGTCTTTTATATTTATATTTTTTTTTTCAAAATAGCTCTTCTAATAATAAAAGTTCTAGTCAATACACTTGATTAGTAAGGATATTTTAGAAAATATAATACCTGTTTAGAATAAATAACTAATCCAATTTATTTTCTTAATATTTTTAAATTAGTCAATTAGTTCTTATAATTAAAACCGGAGGTAAGATTTCTCAGGCCCGTCCCGGAAGGTCATGAATTTCGGATATACAGTTACGACTTACGAGTTACGACTCCGGCGGGCTCAGTCACGTGTTGGTGACATCATGGCGGGATGGTTGTGGGCCCACATACGCGTGGCGCAGTGTGCCACGTAATACAGTCTTGCTTCTTTTCGGAGCGTAGCAAAACCCGAACCGTGTGAGGATTGAGGAATCAACTTAGGATCAGTGTGGGCCCTCACATGCTTAGTTGTCGACCGTTAAAAATGCCTAATTCTCTCCCCAATCCCACGTCACCCTCTCGCTACCTCATTTACCTTAATACCCTCATAAAAGTATATTTATTATTTTCATAAAGGATATATATATATATATATATATCACAGGTACAGAAACATACAATAAACAAATCGTACAACATTTTATTGAGAGGGTGTGGAACGATGCCCAATAGAAGGAAGGAAGTTGTTTATGTGACCAAAATTACTGAAAAAGAGACAGCAAGAGATTAACCACTAATCATATTATAATACTGCCAAAATTAACAACTCTAAGCCTAATTGCTAACTGCTAATCCCCCAATCCTAATATGATGATAAGGTGGTTGGGGCTTCTAACATTATGCCATAAATGCACCAATCAGAGGATAGACTCCTTCAACTTCCAATCAGGCCATCAAGGTTAATATTTTCATTTACATCTCACTCCACACAGCTTTATATCCTAATTTCAATTAAACATCCCACGTAGCCCATCTTCTAAGGGACCTCAAATTTTCCAGCAAGATGATGAAATTTGATTTCATGATTTGTCCTTTATGCGCCTATTTATTTGTCACCATACCCAAAACGAGTACTGCCCAATAATAATTTTACAACAAATTCAAGGTCAAATAGAAGTAATAAAAGTATAAATCAAAAGGTAAAGTAGATTATATCAATCACTGTTGCATTTTATTGAAGTTATTCCCAGCGCTCCCTTATTCTTGAAATTAACACAATCTTTTTTTCCTGGCAAAAAACAAAGGCTTATGTAATTTTTTTAGTTTCAAGAGTTATGTTATTTATATAATTTATTGTTTGGTTTAGGAAAAAAAATTGCATTAAGATTCGAAAAAGAGATGAAAGGCTTATGTGAATTTGATAAGAAATCCATACAATTACAAGAACAACAACACTTATCTTATTAGGTGACGTTGACTATATAGATTACACAATATTATCTAATAATTTTATTGAGTGTTTTCTTTGACTTTTAACTAATTTTTTTTAAGAAGATTCCATATTCCTTGATCTATCCTCTTTACCAGCACACCTAATGACTTTCTTTGCACATAGCCGAGTCTGAACAACATCAAATGATAACACAAAAAATAGGAGGCCTATTTAATTTTTTTTTGCTGAAAAAATAGGTGTAGTTTATAATGCTGCCACATAAGATGTATTTGTAAAGTTTATAAATAAAATGTTTTGAGGCAAAAAAAAAAAAAAAGGGAGAAGAAGAGGCGCAGTTTGGTGATGCTTTCACACAGATACAGTTACGATGAAAGACGTGCAAGGATGAAATTGGACTTTTGAGGAGAGGTTTTATCATGCAACATATAAGGTGTACTTTTTAAAATTTTTTTTAAAAAAAAAGTCCCATAAACCCAAACACACACGGGGGTGCAAAATGGGACGCGTATGTCGTATTTTTAGACAAATTAAGAAAAGAGGATCTATCTTCTCATGTCATGCTTTGCTCCTTTAAAACGGAATGCATTTATCCTCAAAATGGGATTTGAATGAATGGGTGAACTTTCCCACTACATCCAAACAGCTTCATCAATTTTTTCGTCTTCTTCAAAATTAATTAAAATCAATTCCCTGTCCTTCATGTTTTCTGACAGCTTAAAACTCTGATAATCAAAATACCAGGATGTTCATGATCTTCACAAAGTTCTGAACAACGATTTGATTACAAAGTTTTAGCTTGATCACTGGAACTATACAAGCAAGTTTGATTATTTCTGAACAAGACTAGTCATTCTCGATGGATGTATATGAGCTGTTTCACATTAGGTCACTGGCTTCTGACTAAACAAACATCTCAAGAGAATGTGGTTCCGTTTCCATTAGTCGATGATGCTGGCGCGGTGATACCCAGAGCCTCAGATTTCTTCATTGAGAACTTTTGAATTATTAGTTTGACAATGAACTCTGCGGTCGTTTTCATTTTCGTACAGGCGCACACAAAGCGAAAAGGAAAGAGAGAGAGAGAAAATCGGCGAGCTTGATGTGTACAGGGTATCTTCGTTATTGGAAGAAAATGCAGATAAGTTGGTAAATAATTTCTACATATCTGTCAAAGGATTCGCGTGCACGTGTGTTACGGAGAGAGAGGGAGGAAGAATGGAAGATGAACTGGAGAGACTTTCAAATGTAAACTGTACTCGAGTCCCCACAAATGCACTGTTTGATCTATAAAATATTACTAGAATGAAAAGTCATAATGTTCTTGCTCTCAAGTTTCAGCATGAGCTGGATCGTACTACTACTGAGTCTCAATCTTAGCATGATTTTCAAACCAACCCTTGATTTATAAAAATCCTTCTAAACATCAAATCACAACAGTTTTTACTTCACAAGTTTTCTTACAGCCAACATAAACAGACGGGATATTTCAGTTTTCACCATCATTACTTCATTACAGTTGTACTTATTCCTACGCACATAGACTTAGCTAGATCAATTTCAGATGATATACGGTAACGACTGGACTGAGAGCTCTTTCTTTGTCATCCTCTCTTCATCTTTTGTCTTGCTTTCTTTCCTAAATTTAAACTCGGTAAGTCCACAAACCTTCATAGTCCATTGCTGCAGATGAGGCAGTTGGTTGCGGCTGCTGATTGTCGAAGGTTCTGCGACTCATGTCAAGATTCGACACGACCGAGGAGATTTCGGGGTTCATGTCAGTGGTAAGACCTGTTTCTTGGGACACACTGACCATGTCCCTCTCGGGCTTGAAATTGTTCCTGTTTGATTCTTGGTTTTCAAGCAAGGCCCTGAGGAGGGTCTGGTCTTGCAGGCCATAAATAGAATTGGGTAGAGCTAAACTTGAAGGAGCTTGATGTGGTTGAGTGGAATATAACGAACCAGAAATTGGGATTCTGGGAAGGGTGTCTGAGGGATTCGAAGAAACCCCATAATTAGGGAAGTTGCTGTAGGAATCAAAGATCCCTCCTTGGTTGTTTCTGATCTGAGCATCGATTGGATTGGAGAAGCAGGGCACGTAAGCCGATTCTGCGACAGGTTTGGTTTTGTTGCCAGGGAAAGGTGACGAATCTGTCAATGGAGGTAAGCCAGAAGAACCCAATTCATTCCCAAGAGAATCCAGCCTCATCATCCCAGAAATATGGGTTTTCTTACCACTCGAACCTTTTTGAAAAACCCTGCATATCACCCACTCATTCTGCAAAAACAGCATCATAAAAATTCATAACCCCTTAGCAATGGATTCAGACACGAGAGAAAGAGAAAAGAACAAAGAGCCAGAGACTGCATGTGAATATACCTTCGCGGTTTTAGGGAGGTTGTGGACGGAGAATTTACCCTCTAATCTGTATTCGTGCATGACCCAGTTGGTTTTCTCTCCTTTGGGTGCTCTTCCTCTGTAGAAAACCAGTTTTTTCTTCATTCCAACCAGCGATTTTCCTCTGTAGATCTCTTTATCTTTCCCTGTGGCTTTCCAGTATCCTGTTTCAGTGGCCCTGTTGGTTCTCAAACCAGTTGGGTATTTTCTGTCTCTCACGCAGAAGAAGTACCACTCCTTTTCTCCCATTTTGGCTTTCCCTACACCCCAAGGTTGTTTCAATGGGCTTTAACATGAATCAACATGGCAATAGATCAAACCAAGATGGTTGTGAAAAGTTGAATTGTTTAACTTACATGGCAAATCCAAGGCTCAGACCTGTTCAAGTCCACCTCCCCAATGGCCCTAGCTGAGAAGTTGGAATCAGTGACCTTCTTGTACAGGTACTGACTTATAAGCTCTTCATCAGTCGGATGAAACCGAAAACCAGGAGGCAAATTCATTTTCTCTTCTTCCTTACACAGCCCCACAACATTCTCCATTTCTGGGCTATGGAAAACGAAAATTCTCAAGCTGCACAAGGGTCACGAGTTAGAATTCGATCAAAGAATCTATGAATTCAGAAGGGTAGCCCCCTAAAAACTTAAAACTCAGAAGTTCAAACCTCGAAGGGTGATGATCTTATTGAAGAACAACTGAGATGAGCAAATCCGGGGAATTTAAATAGGCGATCTGGGAGTGAGGTTTAAGAGAAAACACAGAGAAAGTGGAAGAAAAAGGGAGGGATAAGGACGAAGATCATGGAACTGAAAAGTTTGGGAGATGAAGGATGTATGGAGATGTTAATGGGAGAAAAAAAGCATAGAGAAAAAGAGTTGCCTAAATACTGCGAGTTTGGATGCAAAGAAACGTGAATTTGAACGCAACCTGGTTAGTTGTTTATAGCCCACTTCTCTCAACTTTCCCGCAATTATAAATTTCTCTTTTCTTTCCCAGTGGCTAATGCCATGCTTGGAAATTCAATCACTTAGGCATGACTATATTGTAATTTCACTATCCAACATCAAGTTCTCTAATATTATATTGTTTCACTTTCCGTCTATAAGGGAATGCCTACATAGCTCCCCGTAAATTTTATACAGAAAAGGAATATTACAAATTTGAAATTATTGAAATTTAAAAGATAATTGAATAAATTATACTCCTCCGATCCTTAATATAAGACCCATTACTAATTTGATTAGATTAAGAAAGTTAGGTAAATTAGTTAATTATAAAAAAAGTGACACATTTTTCCTAAAATACCATAATCATCTTTCTTAATACCCCTCTCCCTCTTCTACTACTTGATTATGGTTGGGAGAATATCTATAGGGGTAATTTAGAGAAAATTAAAAAATATGAGAAATGGGTCTTATATTTAGAACCAAAACCAACTCAAGAATTGGGTCCTATATTAAAGACCGGAGGAGTATATATATAAACTATCCACATACATGCTTCTTAATCTACGTCTCATAATCGCTGGTCAAAAAACAAAAAAAATCTCACAATCACATGTGCTTGTCATGATCTTTCATGGTTTCTGAATCTTACACAGAGCCTATTTGAAAAAACATTTAAAAGTATTTATAAACACATTTTATATAAGTCGAGATAAAATTTTTTTCACACACTTACTTTGTAGTTCATAAATTACGATTGAAAAACTACTTATAAACTATTTCAAACGGGCTCACAATATTGCCAATTCTGTTTAATTAACTACACTTTCATATGTGTGTGTGTCTTTTTTGTTAAAAATTCAATATTATTTCTAATTCTAAATATAAGATCGAATTTATAATGTAAATTGTACTACAAATTAAAATTTTATATTAAGATTGAAAAAAGTAATTATGTATACCTATATTCTCTCTGCTCGGCGGAGGCAAGCTCTAGATTTCTAATAATTGATAATTATAATAATATATGTGCTTTTTGTGTACTCGATTAGTGGGAGCTTAGAAAGAGTACTCTTCTAGTCCTATTTATAGGACAGAGAGAGAAAGTATTTTTTTCCTATTTATAAGTCACTTTATTAAATTTTTAGCGTAAATGTATTATTTTGTTCTTCATTTATTATGATGTAGGTAATTATCTTTTTGAAAGGTGCGTATATTAAATATGAGAGAATTTAAAAAATTATTATATTTTAATAGAGAGTTAATATATTTTAAATTTTTTTTATCTATATAAAATATGCTGAAAATACCTTATAATCGTTTTTTCTAAATTTGTGAATCCAGTTGTGTGAGTGCCAATAGTGTTTAGAAAATGCCTTCACCTTTTATTTCTCAAATCAGTTATGTCGCTTTTTTTTTTTCCATTCGAAATGACCCATTTCACCTTACAACACGTCCTTTTGATTTTCGCCACTACACCAAAAACGGCAAAAAGTAACGCATACTATTTTTTTTTTTGGGTTTAACAAAAAGTAGCACATTATTAAAATAAGCGCATTTTTAGGGTTAGGGTATATTGTTTTAAGTAATTTTATACTATATGAGATTAATATATAAATAAAATTTATCTCATGCAGTGTAAAAATTTTTTTAATACTACTAATCTTAACACTAAAACCCCTACAAGCTTGTTCCTAGACATTTCCGTATAAATAAAGTACATAAATAACAAATTCCAGAAGCATCATTATTTATAAATTATAGATAATATAACTTGTCTTAATCTGCCTTAGAATATATTGGACCTTGTAATATAAAGTTTATAACAAACTATATTATCCCATCATAAATCATGAAATTCATTTTTGTTAAAAGCTTTATAAAATGTATAGATTTAATGCTAATGCTACTTAATTAGAAAATTTTTAAAATCTCTACAAAAAAATAATTTTTTTTTTTAATTTTCAAACCTGTCTTCTTTTATTTATTTACTGGGCATATACCGGAGATGTTGCTCAAATAGATATTTAGTTTCTTAACACTTACAAAGCATATTATATTAAAAAAAGGTCTCTTAACACTTAATTTAATAATTGTTGGTTTAACAAAATATCTTTAATTTTATTTCTGAACCGTGTCGAACCCTCATCATTTGGGCCCGGCAAGAAAAACGGAAACTTTTTAAATCAATCATGCGAATCATGGTCATAAAATATTAAAATAAATTACCACAAAAATTAAGGTATATTGCGATTTTTACAGACGCGCAGAACTTCAAAGCTCAGACACCGACAACATTAGATTTCGACTTGCAGATAAATTTAGATCTTTCAATTATAAATTTGTACCAATACCAATTATTGACCTATGATTCAAGCGTCATCTTGTTATTATTTTTCTAATTTGGAATAAAATATATTCAGCTCACCTGATGTGTCATGAGATTAATAAAATAAAAATAATAAAAGAATATGGAAGAATTTTGGGATTATGCTCATTAAGGTAGTTGGGTGAGGAAGAAGTTACATGAAAAATGGGCCAATTGGTTGGTATTTCATTCATAAGCTAATTTGTCCACTCCATAAAGCAAAATGAACATTACAACTTGGCCTTTTTTTCCCTTTCAAGTCACAACAACTTGGCTTGTATTTTTGTGCGTGATTAATGCACACATCTTATTTATAATTTAGTTTTTGGTGGTTGATAATTATCTATATACAGAATTATTAAGTGAATGATGTAACAATAATACTAACTAGGTCAATTCAACTCAATTTTATATATATTAATAATATATATAGTAATCATGCAAATTTAATAATTATACTCAATAAGCTATTTAGGTGAAAATGCATCAACCTTCGAAAGAAAGAAAGAAGAGAAGACTATCAAACAAACTGACCGTCCGCTTGATTCCAAAATCTAAAAGATAATCAATTAGGTAACAATACATACAATCCATACACTGTATGAATTATATAAAACGAATGCCATATTGTTCATATATAATACCTAAAATAGTGTGAATCATTTGTATTTTCCTCCGGGTCCAACAATTCAAACAAAAAAAGGAAGTGATTTTCATTTATAAATTTCTTAAAATGAGAGTGTTGGATGACTCAGCATTTTTTTTGTTTGTGTTATTGAGGTATGAATATGTTATAAGTCGAGAATGAATTAAATCTTTTCGCCTAAAAAAGAAAAGGTTATGATTTTAATGCATTTCATTTATGGATAAGATATTTTCTTTGTTCCTGTTTATAGGAGAATTTTGAAAATAGTGTAATCTTGTTTCTAGTCAAAGTATTATGATATTATTTAATTTTTTAAATTAAAGAAACAAATACTTTAATTGAATTGAATCTACAGGAAGAATATTCGCACCATTCTATCGTAAGGCCATTGACTCTCTTTTTTTTTCCTTGAAAAAAATGAAAGGGCGTGAGAACATATGGTGATTAGCTAGTTAAAAGAAGGCTGCGACGTTTTGTCAAAAAAATTCATGATTAAAATGGTGCGAGAGAGTAACTCCAGATATAACATTCATAATTACAGTATGAAAACATGCTAGAATTAATTAAGTAATGTTATATTTTATTCTAATAAAACCACAACCTCATTATTCGCTAGACAGAAAATTGGCGCAAGGATGGCTTCACTCGAGATCAGAAGTAACACTTCAGTCACACACTTCGACGTGGTTGGCTCCTTTTATTTTCTGTGGCGAAAATTAGGACAGGAGATCCTGATCCTGTTACAAAACGCACGCGTGCTCTGGGAGTTTCATTCGTCCAGGCAAGAGGAGCACGCCGCACAAATAAATAACGTCCAGAAGCCGCCACGTAACCGTCAGGGCAGAGGGAATCGACGCTGCCGCCGGCCCCCACCCCTAGCCCCTCCTACCCTGTACACGCGGCGGCACCCAATTGAGTGCGCTAATCACAGCCACAGCTAATCCCTAAACTCTTCATTAGGCCCCTTTTCAAGCCACAGAAACTCTGACTTGCTTGCACTAATCTCAAAAATGTAATCGGTGGTTTGACCAAATTGCCGGGGAACGTGAGGTGAGGTGGCAATAGGTGGGCCCTGTTTCACCTGCCCCAGCATGAGGGAATGAAAGGGACGACCTCGTGGAGGAATTTGATTGGCC